TGTGTGTGTGTGTGTGTGTGTGTGTGTGTGTGTGTGTGTGTGTGTGTGTGTGTGTGAGTTTAATCCCAGGGGTTTTTTCTACCAGGCTTCTTTGAAGTCAGGAGAGGTATACGTGTGATTGATAACTTGAAGCCAAATTGTATCTTCATGTTATGAACTTAAGTTAGACAGTGGCAGTGATTGTCTTGGCACATTTCTTTGTATTCCTAGTCTGGTGCCATCTTCTCAAATGTGGAATGAGCAGATGGGGGCAGATGTTAGTTCAGGTCTCTCGGCACTCACCTTCTTCCGGAACCAGGATGGCAGAGCACAGAGAGTCGGCCAGGGACGCAGACAATCCTGACTCTGCTACAAACCCTCTTAGACGTCATTTAACATCTAGGACCCTCAATTTTGTTGTCTGTAAAATGGGAACCATGCCTATCTCATAGAATTGTTGCAGATATAGAAATTAAAAAGAGATGCACCTAGCACATAGTATCTCAGTAAATAGTAGTTTTCCTATCAGGATTCTTCTCTGCTTTCTGAAGAACAGTGTAAGTCATCCCTTTTTGTCCCCATTTTATGACTAGAGGTATGCTTTGGTGGTGGGATTGTAATCAGTACATTCTCAGTGGCTACGTCCTGCCGTAAGTCCAGCATGGCACCGACTCCACTGCTGGGTCCACCCCCTTCCCTCAAGCTTCTGCAGATTTTGTGTTTATTTTGATCCTGGAAGGTTCTAGCAGCACACATCTTACTGCCCTCCTCTTTCCCCTTCAGTCAACTAGACAGTTCATCACCCTGTCCGAAATGAAATCTGAGCAGGACTCTAAAGCCAGATACCTCAAGGAGCTTTTCTTCCTTCTCTCCTTACAGGTTGTTTTCGGGTAGCCTCCTGCTCTCTCCCGCTTGCATGACACAAGTTCCCTTTCTTACTTAGGCACCCTCATTCTTGAATTGCCAATTAGACATGAATAACCCAAGATGAGACTGCAGTCTTTTCCTGATATTTACCTTTGCTCTTGCCCATTTTTTCTTTGTCCATTTTTCATATCGCCATATGTAAATTGTCATACCTATTTGTCAATATGTATATCTGTCTATATCTAAATCTGTCTCCCCCCATCCTTCTGTGTTCTATTTGCCAAGGAGACCCTGACGTTCAGTGCTCTAATTCGCCTGTCCTCAGCACTGCATCCTGTCACTCTGGGCTTGCCATGAGTGATGTGGCCACCACCCCACGTGCCATGGTGGGGACCTTAAGCACAGCCCTAAGAAACGGTGTGCATCAGACGCCACTTTGAATGTAGCTCATTGGTAATGACCCTTGAGAAGGGTCTGTCAGACATGCTCCCACTGAATACTTGTTCCTATGTAGATACATTCTTTTTTGATCTATTCTTCTAGACAGGGTCAGAGAAACCATTGCTTTGACTTCTTAATTTTTAACAGCTTTACTGAGATAGCATTCACATACCACACAATTCAGCCACTCAAAGTGGACATTTTGGTGGTCTTCAGTGTTATTCACAGAGTTGTATGGCCAATGGCACAGTCTCAGGGTTGGACTCGAGGAAAGACTTTTATCCCCTCTGGTGAGTGGGGTGGAAGTGGCTTCAGCCCTGCTTAAGTAGAGCCTGCGTGGCGGTCCCTGCACTGTCCCTGTGTCTGTACAGCTGGGGTCGACCCAGCTGCCTAGGTCAGACTCTGCCCTCACCACCCCCTTGTCACGTGGCTCAACAGCAGAACTGACTTCAGTGTGCTTCAGTTTCCTCAGTAATAAAATAAAGAGAATATTGTTCTCTACATCCAAGAACTGTTGTGAGGATTAAAGCAGTCACTATATGTGGTGCCCTTGGTGCAGTGCCAGTTCCAGAGGTAATGCTATGTCAGCATGCTATCAACACTCATTGACAGGTTGGAGAAGGGGTAAAACTCTATCTGATGTCACATTTGCGTTTCTAGGGTGGACCAGTCGTACCCAGTTTGAAGAGACATGGGCCACCCTCCTTGGTGTCCTGGTTACCCAGCCCCTCGTGATGGAGCAGGAGGAGAGCCCGCCAGAAGTAAGCTGCACATGACTCTGCCTTCGCCGACTGGCAAACAGGCAGCAATGACAGCTCGTAAACCTTTGCTGGTGGGCAAAAGGAAGGCAGCAAGCCAATGCTTTTCTGTCTGGCCTGATTTTCAAAAAAGTAGCCAGATCATATCTTGACTGATGTTCCAGAGCAGGGACAAATCTCCCTGGGCTTTGGGTCTGAGATTGCTAGTGGCTGGAGTGCGTTTCATTATGGTGTGTTCCATGTTAGAATCAGAAAGATTATGTTCTTTCTTGAGTTCTGTTTATTTATCAATACTCAGAGGGGTATAGGTTGAAATAAAATGATAAGGCACTTTATAAAGGCCATGTGTAGTACCTGGGTTTTTTTTTTTTTTTAATTGGTTTTCAGAGATTTTATTAGGCCTCTCGAAGTGTTAATGTACATTATGCTAATATGATGTTAATAACAACCATGCTCTGGTGAAGCAAAGCCCAAGGTATTGAAAGTCACGGGATGTGAGTCCTTGCTTCTGATAGAAGGTGTGGTATGAACTTGCCGAAATGACAGTTCACAGGATGGATATATGATATATCATCAAGATTGTCTTTAAATTTATCTGTAGAAACTAGCAGGTTGTTGTATGCAATGCTTCTAAAATTAATGAAGAAACTTAAGGGTAATTTCTTAAAAGTAATTTACATTTGGAGTTTTGCGCCCATAGGAGTCCGTGCTTTGAAAAGTGGACATTTGCCCATCAAATTTATTTCAAGGCACAGATGTGTGGAGGTGCTGCCCTATGCCTGGTGAACATAGGCTGACAAGAGTCCCCTCATAGCACTTAGGACTTCTCTTCCTCCCTACGAGGCTGTGTGGCCTGAGGGTTCTGTGCACAAGTAGCAGCAGAGCTGGTGGTTGGAGCCTTGCTGCTCATGCTGTTCGTGTGTGGGCTGTCCTTTCAGGAAGACACGGAAAGGACCCAGATCCACGTCCTGGCTGTGCAGGCCATCACCTCGCTGGTGCTTAGTGCGATGACTGTGCCCGTGGCCGGCAATCCAGCTGTGAGCTGCTTGGAGCAGCAGCCCCGGAACAAGCCCCTGAAAGCTCTTGATACCAGGTTTGCCTGAGTTCCCCTGTGTCTCCACGGTATAGCCGGTGCCCGGGACAGTGAGGTTCCCCCCTCAGGTGACCAGCAGCTCCACCCAGGCCCTCTCCTTTATTGCCAGAATTAAAACAAAAGCACTGTGCATGTGGCCTTGCTGCAAGAGGTGCAGATCCACAAGTGGTTTCATGGCCAGTCAAGTTGAAAATGCAGTGTAAGCTTACGTAGGGGTTATTGAGTATTCGGGGGAAGACCCTGATAGAACACCCACACAGGATTCATGGACTCACTTAGAAAGTGAGTTTCATCTGGTATTGTACCCGGTTCCTTTTGGCCAAGCAGAGGGCAAGTTCAGTGTTTTTCACTTGTATAATTTTGAGGGAAGTGAGATATTCTTCACCCTTGTTCTGGATGTTAGGTTTGGGAGAAAGCTGAGCGTTATCCGTGGGATTGTCGAGCAGGAGATTCAAGCAATGGTTTCGAAGAGAGAGAACATTGCCACCCATCACTTGTACCAGGCGTGGGATCCTGTGCCTTCTCTGTCTCCGGCTACTACAGGTACCTGGGAAGGGGCTGTGGACGTGGTGGGAGCACGTCGGGAGCGCAAGTGTGGCTCATGTCAGATGCTGTGGTGCTAAGTATGATGCCCAGTTCATAAGCAGGAGTCTCATTCAAGCCTGGGAAAATCTCACAGTCTTAAGGAAACAATTAAATCTCGAATGAACTAGAAGCATGGTCTCTTACCAGTAAAGTTGTGGGAAGAAGCAAAAGAGTTCCTAGAACTGACACATTGGCGGCCTGCACAAGATGTAAAAGGCGAATTAGTCACTCACGTGAGAAAATGAACAGAATTCATCGAAACAGTCAGAATCTCTGATTCTCATGAGAAATCCTGTGTGGCAGGAGCAAGCCTGTGTTCTCTGACAGCCCCGTGGGGCCGGGGCACGCCTGGGTCTGAGCTCCTCACGCCCCATACCTTCGGCATCTCCCTGGGCCCCGGGGGCCGTGCTGCTCAGGTGCCAGGACTCCAAACAGGCCTCCCAGCTGTGTGCTTGCCTGTGATAGCCACTGGAGTTTGTCACCCTGGGTTAAAAGAAGGGAATCTTCTGGGGTTTTTTTTTTTTTTTTAATGTACATTTTTTGTTGAACAAACAAAGTTTTGTGAGTCCCTAGTTTATTACGAATTTAAGTTTAAGCACGTCGAAGGCTTTACTTGCAAAAGGTTCTGTATGGAAGTGTGGTGTATTATGTGCTCCCAGACATGTATTAGGACATTGAATTAAACCAAGCACTGTGAACTTGGACGGCCACGGACCCAGCCCTCAAAGAGCTTAGGGGACAAAAGGGCCAATGAAAAATGGCCTAACTATCGTAGAAGGCAGAAGAGGGGGCTCTGGGGAGGCACAGGCAGACAGCTCCTGGGGCTCCAGGGCAGCAGGTGCTTCCAGGGAAGGGGGGATCGGGAGGCCCCTTGGAGAGGGTTAGCTCGGGACATTCAGCTGGGGCTGGTGTCCAGGTTTGGGGGGTGCCAGCAGAAGAAAGTGAAGAGGTCGTTTGGCCTGGGGCACAGAGGATATGAGAGGGAGGGACCTGGAGGGTATCATCCTACACCGTGCTCCTGCTGGGTGCACCTGGACAGCCTGGGCACCCAGGCAGGGTTCCAGAACGTACTGTCCAGCAAAATGGTCATCGGGGCCCCACAGAGCACTTGCCTGCTGAGACTGTGGCCTCGTCTGCCATGCTGACTCTCTTAAGCTTTTGCCACTCAGCCCACAACTGGTTCCCAGGGAGAACCATTCCTCAGGGCCCAGGGACAGGACAGCGGTGTGGGGAACTGAGGAATGAGGGATGAACACTGCAGTCTTGTTTGTTACAGAGAAAAAGTGACAGTCCAGTTTGCCTACCGGTCCTGCCAGCTTGACGGGTTATACAGTGATAAGGGGAAGGAACCCCCAGACCCCTGGGGCTCTGCACAGCCTGGGCCGTCTGGCCAGTGGCAAGGGCCTGCAGCTCAGGGCTGGTGCCGGATGGGCCTACGTGCTTGCAGGTGTGTGCAGGGTGGTGGTCACAGTGCTGTTCTTCCCAGGTAACCTCATCAGCCACGACAAGCTGCTGCTGCAGATCAACCCCGAGCGAGAGCTGGGGAACATGAGCTACAAGCTCGGCCAGGTCAGTCTCACAGCCCCCACATCCCAGCGTTGGCCCTGGTTGTCAAGTGGCCACTTGACATATCTGGGAGAAGAGTTAAAATACAGAGGAAGTTTTACTTTTGTTTTTATTTATATTTTTTATTTGAAAAAGGTTTTAAGATGTTTTGTATGTACTGATAGAGGTGTGTCTGAAATTTGAAAAGTGAGATGGTTTGAGTTAGACCTTAGGAAGAACCGGGAGAGATGAGGGTGAGGACGTAGAGTGGAGTCGGCTGAAGGGCTCAGGTGGAAGTGGACACCACTTGGGCCCCTGGTCTGATGGACCACAGATCTAGCCAGGACTCCACTGGCTCCGAGGGGAGTGCAATGGCACGGCTCTCAGTGTGCAGATGGATGCTCAGCCACTTCCTGGGCAGCTTCCATTGGTCTGCACTTCAGGCATCCCAGCACACGGTGGCACATGCCACAGGGCAGGGGGTGTGTGCACGAGCGCTTACAGAAGGGCTAGGCTATAGTGACCCACCGACACCTTTCTCTCTGCTCACTGCTGTCTTCCTCTCACTGTGTTGCTGGTTTATTTAGAAACCAATTGTGCAGGACAATTAGTTTTATTTCAGAAGATAGTGCGTCAGGAGTGTTTGAAAACAGTTGTTAGTTCTGAGGATTTCCTATTCTGAGCTCTCAGCAGGCAGCCTTTTCAGCGGAGTCCCCAGGTGCCTGTCCCTGTCCCCTGTCCCTGTCCCCTGCCTACATAGCATTCCTCTGGTCCCATTAGCTGCCTGCCCCTGGCCCCTGCCTGCAGGGCATTCCTCTTTTCCAGTTCACTGCCTACTGGCTTCAGTGAGCAGGAATCAGGAAGCTGCTGCACCAGCTTGTGTTTTTCTAGACTTAGTTGGAAGAGGCCACAAACTCTTCTGTTCTTTTACCTTTTTAGAGAAGTTTCTCCCCCAAATTAAGTGAAAGTGGTCATTGGAAGGCGATGTAGATTTATGGAGGGAGGTGTGTTTCTGAGGGCAGGTTGTACGTGAGGCCTATGGCTCATTGGGTTCCCATGGCCACGTCCTGGGGCCCCTGACACTGGGTCTGTGCTCAGGCTGTTTCCCTGACTCTTACTTCCCTCAGTGTTTTTGTCCACATCCAGCCCTCTGCAGGCTCAACGTAGTGGCTAAAATACTATTCACCCCTGCCCTCTCTGGGATGTTCAGCCCCCCAGGGCCACTGGACTGAGCCACTGCTGGTTTTGGGGCCAGAGGGGCCAGAGGCTTGGTTGGGGGCTGGGCGGGGGAGCACAGGGGCTGCTCTTCTCAGCCTGAGAGTGGCTTCTGCAGACTCACAGCCTGCCTGCCCACTCGCTTACCACAAGCTGCAGGGTCAGAGGGAGAAATGGCTGTGTGTGCTGAGAGTAGGAATTGGGGCTGGGGTCACCAATTATGGAGGATAGTTTTCTAGAGGACCAGGCAGAAGGGAGGCCCCACACACTATGCTGACTGCGTGGTGGCTTTTGATCTGGAGCATGCATTACAGAGGCACAAGGGAGGTCTAGCCCTGCTCAGCTGGGCCCCTCTGCAGGGACGGGGTAACTGCCTCTGCCAGCCACCATGTCGCCCTCTTGCTGGGTTCCTCCTCCCTTCCCAGCCCACCATCTCCAGAAAAGGCACATTACCTTTTGCATTCTTAGGAGATTTTTTGTTGTTGTTTTTTTGTTTTTTGAGATGGAGTCTCGCTCTGTCATGCCAGGTAAAGTGCAGTGGTGTCATCACAGCTCACTGCAACCCTGAACTCCTGGGCTCAAGCGATCCTCCTACCTCAGCTTCCCAAGCAGCTGGGATTAGAGGTGCACACCACCACACGTGGCTAATTTTCTCTATTCTTGTAGAGACGGGGTCTTGCTCTTGCTCAGGCTGGTCTCGAACTCCTGAGCCTAAGCGATCCTCCTGCCTCGGCCTCCCAGAGTGCTAAGATTACAGGTGTGAGCCACCGCACCTGGCCCTAGGGGTCTTTTTAAAGCAATTAATTCAGACAAATAGGGTTTACTACCACAATGCCAGTTAGGGAGGACTAGAGTTGAGAAGAAGCCCCTGTGGTGGTTGCATGTTTCCCAGGACTTCATGCACATGTCACTTAGAAGCTAAAGCATCCCTTCGTAGAGCTCTTTCCTTCACTCCTCAGCTGCTCCTGTGGGTCAACTGCCCTCTTCTAAATCTTTAGCCTGGGGTTGGAGTGTTCCGGCAGCAATGCAGCCCCCACCCCACCTGCTCTGTCAGCTCTTCTGCCCATAACCTGGTGGGCCTGAATGGCCCCTGCTAAGGGACAGGCCATTCAAATGGCAGAGCGGTGTCATCAGTCCAGGGGGCCCAGGCCGCACCTGCCCACAGGGACCTGATGCCTTCACCCCAAGCACTGACTCGAGTGTCCTATTCCTGTGACAGGTGTCTATACACTCTGTGTGGCTGGGGAACAACATCACACCCCTGAGGGAAGAGGAGTGGGACGAGGAAGAGGAAGAGGAGGCAGATGTCCCTGCACCTTCATCACCACCCACATCTCCAGTCAACTCCAGGTTTCCTATTGGCATTTTTCTTTTTTACAGAAATTTGGCATTTCTTATTAGTCATTTGATTTGTTTGGGGTGCTTCTTGAAATGAACCTCTCATCTCATGTACGGGGAAAAAACCCATCTCGCACATTTTGCAGGAAGCACCGGGCTGGAGTTGACATCCACTCCTGTTCCCAGTTTTTGCTTGAATTGTACAGTCGCTGGATCTTGCCATCGAGTTCAGCCAGAAGGACCCCAGTCATCCTGATCAGCGAAGTGGTTCGATCCGTAAGTTTGTCTTCCCGTCCTCTCTCACACGTGCCCGTGCCCCTGTGTCCCCCCACACCCACATACAGTTTATAATCTCTTGGAACTTAGAAAGCAACTCTTACAGGTTCACAGATATGGGCTGATAAATTAGTATTTCACAAATTGGCGAAGGAACAGTTTTTTCCGTTTCTGATCCGGGGCAGGTCGGTACTCTTAAACACAGCGAAGGCATTGTAGGCATGCCACATTGCTGTCTGAGTCCTGAAGGCTCCTGTCCTCTTCTGCTCCTCTCCTCTAGGGCCTGTGACACACACAGTCCCAAGGCTCGGGACCCACTTCTTCTTCTTTTTTTTTTTTGAGACAGGGTCTTACTCTGTTGCCCTGGGTAGAGAGTGCAGTGGGCTCATCATAACTCACTGCAACCCCAAACTCCTGGGCTCAAGGGATCCTCCTGCCTCAGCCTCCTGAGTAGCTGGGACATAGGCACCATCACGCCCGGCTAAGCAGGCCCCACTTCTGAGAAGCAGCCGTTCCAGGCTGTTGGTCTAGGGTCCTGCCACTCTTCAGTTAGTGAGGACCCCAGAGGCATCTGTTCTGTGGGTTATGTCTATTAGGATCTATAGGATTGGAAATAAAAATGGAGAAGTTTTAAAAATTGTTGCTTACTAATCCATTTGAAAATAATGGTAACTTTTTAAGACTAGTGAGAATAGCTTTATTTTACATTTTTGTAAATCTTTTTGATATCTGGTGTATTAGAAAGCAGCTGTGGCCTCCAGGGAAGGGCAGCCGCTGCCTGCAGACACACTCCCCAGAATGGGCGCTCATGCCCGGTTGAGATCCGCTGTTAGTTGTAACGTGGAGAACTGAATGTCAGAGAAGGGAGTGCTGGGGAGATGAAGAGAATACCTGGCAAAGCATTTATTTCTGACACAGACAATTGCCCATTTCTGTCCTCCCAGGGGTTTTGAGGGCCTGTCCCCATACGCTGTAGGAAGGGCTTGGTATTTTCAAAAATAATAAATGTAGCTCTTTTCCATGGTGACTGCTACGGGTGAGTGACCCTACGCGAGTGGAGCTGAGACCCCAGTTTGCTGCCCCCATCTGTGGTGTGTGTGGAGAGACATTTTAAACCCGACATTCAGCGACTGGTTTTTTTTTCATGTTTGTGTTTACCCTGTATTTTAGGTTTCCAGGTTCTTATTGATTTCTTTTCCCAGTCAGGGCTCCTGTGAATTCCCGAATTCTCTTCTGTCTTGGATGTTAGAGCAGCATTTTTGATGCATTACTTACGTTCTAATAGCACAGTTCTCCCCCTTATGCTAATGTTTCGTGTCTCCAGCTTCTAGTGGTCTCAGACTTGTTCACTGAACGCAATCAGTTTGAGATGATGTATTCGACGCTGACAGAACTGCGGAGGGTGCACCCTTCGGAAGACGAGATTCTCGTGCAGTATTTGGTGCCAGCCATCTGTAAGGCGGCTGCTGTCCTCGGCATGGTAAGCAAGAGCTGGTGTGGAGGCGGAGGCTGCCTGTGCTGATGCTGCCCGGGCCCACTGTTCCTTGAAACCTGGTGTCGGCCAGACGTGCTGGGCCCAGCCATGTCCTTTGAAGGCCCATCCTGAACTAAACTCCCACAACACATGTGAGCCGCAGCACTGTCAGCTGGAGAGGATTCAGTTACTGTCAGTGCCGTTCCATAGGCCACCGTGACGTGTTGTCCCCCTTGGTTTGCTATGTCATGACAGTAGCCTGTCCCCACAGGACCACGGGTGTGTCATGGCACTGGGGTAGCATAGGTGGCGCAGACGTGGCTGGTTCTCCACCCTCTGCCCTGCAGATCCCCTGTGCTTCTCAGCTACATAGCCTCCTCCTGGGGACCATTTTGTCATGGTGGCCCTGCATTTCCGCTCCCAGAATCTGGATACTGCAGTCTGTTCTTAGCATGAGGGCTGTCTTAGTCTGTTTGGGCACCTTAGACTGGGTAATTGATAAACAGAAGAAATTTATTTCTCACAGTTCTGGTGGCTAGAAGTCCAGGATCCACGCACCAGCAGTCTGTGTCCGGTGAGGGCTACTCTCTGCCTCATAGATGGCACCTTCTTGCCGTGTCCTCACATGGTAGAAGGGCTGCACCTTGGGCCTCTTTTATAGGGGCTCTAATCCCATTTTTGAGGACTCCACCCTCATGACCTAATCACCTCCCAAAGGCCCCTCCTCTTAATACCGTCTCATTGGGGATTAAGTGTCAGCATATGAATTTGGGGACACACATTCAGACCATCACAAGAGTCTTTCAGGTTCCTCCTTATTCTGCTTCTAGTTTATCAGGATTCAGCCAATGGTGATAGCACCCATATTCTGTGTGCACATCACCACATAGTATTTGCTAAACGTACAGCAGATAAATATGTGAAAGTAATTTCCTGTGGGCCCTGACAGGATATTAGAACTGGCATGGATTATTCTTTGTCATGTAGCATTATCCAGTAATTGTGATGTTTCTTACTCAGATGTCCCTTGGAATTCATTTTTATGATAGCAGTGGAAACTCATTTCTCAAACATGTTCCGGGCTGCCATATGCCAGGCATTTGGGGCCACTGGTGAGGTTGGCATGGTGGTGCCCACCGCGCCTGCCGCATGTTCCATACACAGTACTGTTGCCAGGAACAGCCATGCTGTTGTGACAGTGACGATGTGCGCCCCCGCTGCTGCAGCACCAGCATTTGCTAAGCCCTTCCTCCCATACCCCCATCACCTCTGTCCACAGATTGACAGGGGCAGCTGGCTGTCCAGGTCACACAGGTGTGACAGAGGTGGGGTGAGCCCATGCCTGTGACTGGGGCCTGACTCTCCTCTTCCTGGCTGCTCCCTGTAGGGTCTGTGCCCCAAGCCAGAGTGCTAGCGTAGGTGTCTCCCCTCGTGGGTGGCCTTCAGCCTGGTGCCATGCTGGTGACTTAGGAGCCGTCCAGGGAGTAGAAACAATGAGTGCCTTGGTTTTCCTCTTCCACACGGCTCTTCAAAGTGGACACCCTCTGGGTGTTGCTGAGGCTGATGTCAAAGCAGCTCACTCGAAAGGGGTACTTTTTTCTCTGTGGGGAGTAATTGTGTTTTTGTGCTCAGGCCCAGATCCCCCCAGGCAGATGTTGTGCTGCCAGTAAATCAAATGAGTAATGATAATTTCTAAGAACAGATCCCAAGGCAGGATGGTGCATGGACACTGATTCCCAGTTCTGTGCACATGAATGTTTTTTCTTGGAGATGATCATTTTCTGGCTGGGCGCGGTGGCTCACGCCTGTAATCCTAGCTCTCTGGGAGGCCGAGGCGGGCGGATTGTTTGAGCTCAGGAGTTCGAGACCAGCCTGAGCAAGAGCGAGACCCCATCTCTACTAAAAATAGAAAGAAATTAATCGGACAACTAAAAATATATAGAAAAAATTAGCCGGGCATGGTGGCACATGCCTGTAGTCCCAGCTACTCGGGAGGCTGAGGCAGAAGGATCGCTCGAGCCCAGGAGTTTGAGGTTGCTGTGAGCTAGGCTGATGCCACAGCACTCTAGCCCGGGCAAAAGAGTGAGACTTTGTCTCAAAAAAAAAAAAAAAAAAAAAGATGATCATTTTCTGTGAAGGTTTTCAGTATACTGTGCATTGGTGCAGACGCTGTCATTCTAAAACATGTGAGTTTCTTTTGAGAGATGTGCCCATGGTTGTGAAATCTGCACCCCTCTGACAGCACATCCTGGTTTTGTGCTTTCAAAAGTGAGACCGGGGGGCAGGGCTGGGAGCCGTCCTTAGGAACGGCCACAAAGCCCATGGCTGTGGGCGGGCAACAGCTTCAGGGTCATTTCCCTGTGGAAAGGCCACTACCGCAGGCCAAGAGCCTCGTTCCACAAAAAGAAGAAGCCACCTTGACACACAGTCGTCCATCGGAATTCCACATCCCATGGTCTTGGATTGAAGAAGGATGGCATTCTCTGCCAAGGGCTATTTTCTCTGAAGGTCTTCTCTTCACTGTTAAGGAGTAAACTTAAGTGAAGAGCATGGCATTGGGTGTTTAGGTCTGTACTTAATTCTGTTATGTTTAGAATACTAAGTCAAATTTATGCTATTGTGGCCCAAGATAGCACAGACTGGTGTTGGAAGTCCCCAAGACTACCCCTAGGTTTTTGCTAAAAGGACTCAGAGCTAGGATTTATCACAACAAAAACACACAAAGGGAAAGGCACCTGGGACAAAGTCTGGGGGAAACCAGGCTCGATTTTCCGGAATCCTTTCTCAGGGGAGACACACAGGGTGCATTTCATTTCCCCAGCAGCAGGTGCGTGTGAAGTGCTGTCACCAGGGAAGCCAGTTAGAGACTTAGCGCCAGGGTTTTATTGAGGGCCGGTCACAGGGGCACCCTCTGCCTGGCACATACTGAAACTCCAGACCCCCAGGAAGTGACAGGGGTTCAGCATAATCCTACTGCGCACAGCTGAGGCACAGGGAGCCTCTCGTCAAGTTCCCAGATGACAGCCCGGGCCTACCTGGCACACACCCTCTCTCAGGACAGTGTCGGGCCTGCCATGTGACTCTCTTCTGCACACTGGCCTTCCACCTTAGTGTGAGGGCAGCCCTCTCTCGACTGTGGGGGAAGTGGGCCACTGGGACTTGCTGTCGTTCATCAGGGAGGCCTTTTTCTGTGTGCATGTGCCCAGGACAAGGCTGTGGCAGAGCCGGTCAGCCGCCTGCTAGAGAGCACACTCAGGAGCAGCCACCTGCCCAGCAAGATCGGAGCCCTGCACGGCATCCTCTACGTGCTGGAGTGCGACCTGCTGGACGACACTGCAAAGCAACTCATCCCGGTCATCAGTGACTATCTCCTCTCCAACCTCAAAGGAATAGCTCAGTGAGTGGAGGCCCGGCCAGGGGTCTTGCAGTGGGGTGGGGAAGAGAGTGACGTCACACCTCTCAAAAGTGCACTCCAGGCCAGGTGGCCAGCAGGTATTGGTGGGAACCCAGGCAGGCACCCTTCTTACAGGACCGTGGGTGAGGCCAGTGAGATACAGGGACGCAGAGGCATTCCGGAGGCTGTCTTGGGTACTCTCCCATGAGACAGGAGCTCCTGCCTCTGTACCCCACTCCCGTGTGCTTAGCACACTCCTCTGTGCATCCATCCCTAACTCCTTGCCAGGGCAGTAGCCCTCGTTCTCTGTCCGCGGAACCTGTTCTAGTTGCCCAGCTCTGCCTCCTCCTGCAGCTCCCCTCACCTGATCCTGGGCACCCCCAGCATATCCCTTTTGTTTCTACTCTGACCCCAGCCTCACCTTATCTAAAGGCAGCTGTACATGTGAGTCTGCACAGATGTGGCCCTTATAAAGCATAACTAGTGTCAGAACTCCTTAGAAAGTAAGACAGGCTCACCGTACTGTGTCTTGCAAGCATGGGGGCCTCTGTGACACACTGGTCCCACCCCTACTCTCCTGAGGTCACAGAGGCTTGGAGCAGCAATGGGCAGTTTTTCTAATTGCTCCTCCCTACAGAAGCTGTCTTTAGAACCCGCCCTCATAGGGAGGGTAGAATTTCCTCAGGCACAGACACCAGGGAGTTGAGGGCAAGCCTTAGGAGCAGAGATGGGTGGGGGTGGCGGGCAGGAACAGCCAGTTGTCCCCTTTGACAAGCAGGTGGGTGATCTGGGAGTGGGTAAGGTTAAGTGGAAGGTTTGGAGTGAGACGGGGCGGGTCTGGGGAGCCCAGGCAGACATGGGTGCAGTGGAGGGTGGGGCTCAGGTAGCAGGGAGGCACAGGCAGGGGTTGGGATGGGCTGGAGCAGGGAAGGTGGCTCACCAGAGGCTGTTGCTCTCATCCAGGCTGGAGCTGGTGTGGGCCTGTAGGGAGGCCCTTCTTGTCTATTGTCCTCGCATGTCAGGTGCCATGTGAGCAAGATGGACAGACAGCCTGGAGCCTGGCACGGACCTACATCACACAGGGGACACAGGCCTGCAAATTGAGGGGCACGTACGTGGGTGCAGCAGTGGGATCTTGGGGGCAGCCCTAGAGTGGATACCAGACCAAGGCAAGGCCTGGCCATGCTGACATGCTGCGGGTACAGGGGCCTGCAGGGCTAGGGCAGGAGTTGCACTGGGGCTGCAGGGAGCTTGCGGTGTCCAGGTGGAGAGCGTGAGCGGAGCTGGCCCCAGACCAAGGACAGAGGGGCTGGTGCCCGCACCTCAGCAGTGGAGGTGGGACCATGTGGCGGCCCATATGATTGTCACGTGGGTGAAAGGGTGTTGTGTGGCTCCTTTATCCACAGTGGCCATTTGTCCTATCAGGTCAGCCAGGTCCCAGGTCCCTGTGGCTGCTGTGGGGAAGGCAGGGACTGACGGGATCACAAGGTGACACAAACACATGAGGGAGTGCACAGGTCTCTTCGAGGGGCAGAGAGAGGGCACAGTGTCCAGTCTGGAGCTGGGGCGGTGTCCAATGGAGACTGAAATTTCAGGCCAGGTTGCAGAGGCCTGGAGAAGTCATTCAGGCTGGGCGGGCCCCAAGGCTGGCCTGAAGCTCTGCACTCCAGTGGGGGCCAGGCGCACTGCTGCCCAGTCTTTACCGCGGATGAAAGTGGCTGCCACGCATGGCTAAGCTTGGCTGTCATGTCTGTTTCCAGCTGCGTGAACAGTCACAGCCAACAGCATGTGCTGGTGATGTGTGCCACCGCATTCTACCTGGTTGAGAACTATCCTCTGGACGTGGGGCCAGAATTTTCAGCGTCAATAATACAGGTGAATGGGCCCTGGCTGGTCTTCCTCTGGACACAGGGAGCAGGCTTGTGTCCTTTTTCCTGTGGGATTGTACTAGTGGGTCAGTTTTGATTTGGGGAAGGGGGCATGAACAACCTGAGACTTAGAGGCCTTTCATCTTGTCCAGATGTGTGGGGCAATGTTGTCTGGAAGTGAGGAGTGCACCCCCTCTGTCATCTACCACTGCGCCCTCAGGGGCCTGGAGCGGCTCCTGCTGTCCGAGCAGCTCTCCCGGCTGGACGCCGAGTCCCTGGCCAAGCTGAGTGTGGACAGAGTGAACGTGCACAGCCCACACCGGGCCATGGCAGCCCTAGGCCTGATGCTCACCTGCATGTACACAGGTGAGCAGATATCACGGTCCGTGGTGCCCAACTCCTGCTCAAGGGAGACAGGAGCATGCTTGCTTGAGGAACATAGAGCCAGGTCCCCTCTGATTCAGCCCTGTGGTGTTGCCCTAAGCCAGCCCTGTCACCACGTGAGACAGATGCGAGAGCCTAGGGCAGAGGTGCGCACCCAGGATCGTGTCACTGTGCACAGGTGTCAGAGCCATGCCTCTGGCCAGTTGCCCCCTATGGCTGAGCAGTGGGGAGCTAGGCTGGGTTCTGGGCTATCTAGGGGCCCATGTCACCTGCTTTCAGACCATCTCCAGGGACTCGTTAAACATCTGTATGCACAGCACTGTCTGTAGAGCCTTTTGGGTCTTACAGATTATGTAACCCTCACGCTGAACACTTCTGTTTCAGGAAAGGAGAAAATCAGTCCAGGTAGAACCTCAGACCCTAACCCTGCAGCCCCAGACAGCGAGTCAGTGATTGTTGCTATGGAGCGAGTATCTGTTCTTTTTGATAGGTAAGAAATGAAGCCCACCCCCTTACTCATAAACTGCCCTGGAACTTTGGCCAGAAGTAGTTGCCTCCATGTGTCTTTGTGTGTCCTCTCGAGCGTCGCTGTGGTCCTGCCAGTGTTTCCCAAGCACACCCTGGTTGTGGGCTGGCTTGGCTCGGTGCTCAACCAATGAACAGATGGTCCTTGGACTCCAGCACTCAGGTGATATTGACAACTCCAAGGTTGTCCAGTGCTTGCCCGTCTCTCCTGAAGGCTGCAGGAACAGTGCATGGCACCTGGGCAGTGTGGCATGGGTGCCGGCATGATTCAGCTCTAGGAGGGCCAGGCGAAGGACCTTTTACAGGAGAGGTGCCCATAGTCCAAGCCTGCTGTGTCCTTCAGGGGCCGTGGAAGGAAGCACGCGGCACCTATGAGCAGTGGTGGGAGCGGCGTCAGGAAGAGTAAAGGTTAAAACACAGAGACACATCTTTAAGAGCCTACGTGATGGGCGCCTTGGCCTCCCAGCCTCCCCACCTTGCGTGCATTTCTGTTCAGAATTGGCTTTGCTTGCCTGTTCTGGAAAATGGTTTAGGGACTTTGTTGGGCTTTTTCTTGATGACAGGGCCCCACGTTTAGCTCTCAGGCCTCTCAGGCCAAGTAACATGATGGTCTGTGGCCTTCTGACACCACTCGACCTGTGATCTCCAATCAGGCTGGCCAGTGGGAAGCCATTTGGCTTTTCCCAAGAGCCACTGAGACAGACTTTGCCTGTGTCAGTCTTTAGCCAGATGAGCTGTTCTGAACAGCTGAGCATACGCTGGTCTCTTTCCATGGGAGTTTTAAAATGAGCCTCTGTGTCATTCTTCTGTCCACACATAGTCACTGAGCACCACTGTGCTGCCGGGCACTTGGGTGGTGGGGCACATGGAGGCGCCACACCCAAGTCCCTGCCTTCCTGGGCTTGCGGTCTGGTGCTGAGGAAATAAATGCTGCAGTGAGCACAGTTGAAGGGCATCTTCCAGAGCAGCAGCCACGCCCACCACAGCCAGCACCTGTAGGCGGGTGGAGCCAGGCACACCTGCCAGGGAGCCAGTTCAGTTTCTGGGTCACCACCGGTGCCTCTCAGTTATACATGGCTGTCATGCCTGTGCCAGCAAGGTAGTAACGGGACAGCTATCTTTCAGCATCGAAAAGGATACTGCTGAAGGGACATGTGTTAGGGTCTGTTGGGAGAAGAATCAGTGAAACCACAGATGGGGGCTGGGTTTGATAAGAAGAAAACATCCTGGTTGACCAGAGAGGGCTGCAAGGTGTTACAACGTGTTATGGCGAAAAGTTTGTGGAAGATTTTGATGTGGAAAATAACAAAAACGTAATGAGGGCAATTTTTTTTTGTTATGACTCTTAAAAGTTTCTTCTATAATGTCCCCAACCCAAACTATTTCTGCTTATTCGTTTATGTGGTTTTCAAACCCTCTTTGGATTGTCGGGGCCACATGGCTCCATGACTGGAGCCCGGCCTATGCCGAGCAGCCAGTCACCAGTGAGGTGGACAGGGAGAGCTGCGGGTTTGCCTGTTTACTCTCGAAATTTGTACTCTAGTTACCCCCACTTGGACAGTCTCTAAAGGTGAAGGGTACCTCCAGCCCTGGTTCCACCCCACTGGGGCAGGGTGGGAGAGCTGTGGGGAGCCTGGCTGAAGCTCTACCTATGTCCATGCCTCCTAGGATCAGGAAAGGGTTTCCCTGTGAAGCCAGAGTGGTAGCCAGGATCCTGCCTCAGTTTCTAGACGACTTCTTCCCACCCCAGGATGTCATGAACAAAGTCATTGGAGAGTTTCTGTCCAACCAGCAGCCTTACCCACAGTTCATGGCCACCGTGGTGTACAAGGTGAGGGTGTCTGCATGTGGGGTGGGGTGGAGGGGGAAGTCCACAGGGGAATTGGCCCCAGCGTTCCCGGGAGGGCCCTGTGCCTCCCCGGTGAAGCAGCAGCAGCCCTGTACCCCTGTGGCATGTTTGAAGAGCACACCTGCCCCACCTCCCTCCTGCTCCTGACCTGGGGTGCTTGCTCCTTCTCAGGTGTTTCAGACCCTGCACAGCACCGGGCAGTCATCCATGGTCCGTGACTGGGTCATGCTCTCCCTCTCCAACTTCACGCAGAGGACCCCAGTCGCCATGGCCACGTGGAGTCTCTCCTGCTTCTTTGTCAGCGCTTCCACCAGCCCCTGGGTCGCGGCAATGTATCCTCCCTGGGTCCCTGGCACTGGCCAGGCCCTGCTTACTGACACTCCTTGCACATTCTTTGGTCAATATCTAGGTTCGTGTTTTATGTTAAGGTTTTTGAAACCTAACCTTTGCAAAAAACCCCACAGATATGAAGATGACATGGGCCTCTGCCCCAAGGGAGTAAAATGTTGGCAGGGACACAGAAGACAGAATGCCCAGCCATTTGCTGACCAGGGGGGCTGTTGTGTGGCAGGAGTGTCGTAGGGCGGGGCAGCACGGAGAGGATGGTCTCTGCAGGCATCCAGCCCACTCCTGCACTCGTGCTGCTTCTCATTAGCTTTTGTCATTGTGTCTTCATCGCCCTCTTGGGGAAAGGCTTAAGTAAAGATCCAGTTCCCACCCCTAAAATGCTAGCTGCCAGGAGTTCCCCTTTGGCAGCCTTCTCCCAAGACAGACCACAAGAGCCTCCAAGCAGCACAGTTGTCCTGGTGCTGACAGCACAGCCTCGCTGGGCAGGCAGGGCTGTGGCTCTGCCCTCACTGCCGGAGCAGGCTCGCAGGGGCCAGCGTGCGCAGCAGCCAGCGCTGCGTGGGAACCGGGCCAGGTAAGTGCTGCCAGGCAAGCGCCCCACCACCCCAGTCAGCTCTGCCTGGCCCACCTCTGCCCTGCCCGGCAGCCCGCAGGCGTCCAGTGGGCAAGACTGCAAGAGAGCTGCTGGAGCCGTCAGGCCGCCCTGATGCTCTGGTGGCTCTCAAGCCTCCCTGGGCCCACTCTCGGGCTGTGTTGGGAGAGGATCTCCCCAGCCAGGACAGGGAGGCAGTTTTCCCCTTACTTGCCGGCTTCTCCCTTAACTCCCCGCCAGCCTCCCACACGTCGTCAGCAGGATGGGCAAGCTGGAGCAGGTGGACGTGAACCTTTTCTGCCTGGTGGCCACAGACTTTTACAGACACCAGATAGAAGAGGAGCTCGACCGCAGGGCCTTCCAGTCTGTGTTTGAGGTGGTCGCAGCTCCAGGAAGCCCATACCACCGGCTGCTGACTTGTTTGCGAAATGTCCACAAGGTCGCCACCTGCTGAGCCCGTGCTGGAGAGGCTGTGAGGCAGTGACGGCTGGTGCTGAAGCCTCCAGGAGCCTGTGCCAAGCGCCCTGCCTCCACCTGCCGGCTCAGTCACCGCAGGCTTCCGCTCATGCCATGGGTGGCCAGGCAGCGTGCGTGTCTTTGCTACGTGGCAGAAGTGCTCTTCGCAGTGAGGTGGCTGGGCAGGGAATGGCTGTGGTCTGTAGGGGTTGAGCCCAGGGCCTTCCAGAGAGCAGGAGCAGCTACGTTGCTGGCCCTCAGGCTGCAGCTGGTAGTGATGCCGGTGGACCAGGTGTTGGCCTTTCTCCTAACGCTCACATTTTGGTTGGCGCCAGGTTGCAGCTGCCCTTGCATCTGGGACGAAAGTCCTCCTACAGGACAGCCCCTCTGCTGTCCCGCAGGCGGAAAGCTCTGCCAGCAGGCTTTGGGAGCTCTGCCCTGCGTGTTCCCAACAGGCTTTGGGAGCACTGCCCTACGTGTCTCCAGCAGGGTGTGTGTGCCACACCCAGCGTGTGGATGCACAGAAGCTGCAGTGCACGCTGGGCCAGTGGCTGGGAGCGCCACACACCCAGCCCCATTCTCCCTTTCTCTGTTTTCTTCTCAGGATTTAAAATTTAATTATATCAGTAAAGATATTAATTTTAATGTAACTCTTTCTATGCCCGTGTAAAGTATGTGAATTACAAGGCCTGTGCTGCATGCAACAGCATCTGTGGAAGTGGACAGAGCCCCTCTGGCCACGACTCCCTCCCCTGCAGCCACTCACATAGCCCTCCCGAACACCCGTTGATGTTTCTGCAGCACATGTCCCCTTCGTATGCATTCACATATAATTGGAATGTAGAGAGGTGTTAGTGTTAGGGTGTCCACAGCAGGAGTCCTCCCTAGGGCCCCCTGTGAGGATTAAGGAGCACCCTCCACCACCTAGTGTGTAAGGGTATGGCTCCCCACGGTACTCTCCTCGGGCACAGACAACTATCCACGTTCACCACCCACCAGCAAAGTGAGGGATGGTGGCTTCCCTGTCACATGACTATGAGCAGCCTCTGTTGTGTCCGGAGATGCTGGTCCTGGGCTGGGGTCTGCCCCCAGTGCTGGCTAGCCTGTTTGGAGTCTGCCACCCCATGGATGTGTGCCTCACCCTGACAGCCCCAAGGGTGGCTGACCTGCATTTTATCCAAGCCCCTCTTAGTCAAGAGCAAAGCTTGGTGTCTTGGCAACCGTTAGTGACAGAGCACATCAGCCGCTGCCCTTTTTAGCTCACACATTTAGTCAGGAGAGTACAGATCTGTGCCCACTGGAGCCCCAGGGGTGGGGTGCAGACGGGGAGGGGAGAGGGGCTGCTTAGCTCATGGCCCCGAGTCAGCACCATGGCCCCATCAGAGCTGTTTCCAGGCCCAAAGTAGTCAAGTCACCAAAATGGAAGTGAGTCCTGGACTGTAGGGTTGCCCTTGACGTAGGAGCTGGACTGGGAAGTTGCATCTGCCATTGGCCGTAAGATGGGCTGGGGCCTCTGCTTCCTCAGCCCCTGGAGGCAGCCCCAGCTGGGTTGGTGACATCGTGCGGGTCGGTTCAGTCATGGACGTTGATGTTTGCGTATTTATCATGGTAAGTGGAGATGATTTTGGAGCTGTTTTCCAAAGTCTGTATAGGTGCTGCCTTGAGACCCCTTAGCTTTCTGTGTCCCTCTCTTGCTACTGCAGTTGGAAGGCAGCGGGGATGCAGGGTGGTCTGCTGCCACGCACGTGGGGGATCCCAGGGGACCCCCTCCTCAGAGAAGCCTCCACCAGGCCTGTGTGTGGCTTTCCTGCCAGCTTCCAGCAGAGGCCCCCCCCCACAAGACAAGACTGCCTTGTCCTAGTGTCGGGGGCTGCACGAATGGTAGAAATGGATCCAGTTTTTGAGGAGGACCTTAAGGGAATCTGCCAAATTCTAAGAAGAAGAAAGTTACCGTTCTCCCTTACTAGTCTGGGGCTCCCATTGCTCATCCTAGCTTTTCCCATAGAAAGCCTGTTTGAATGCTTGCGAATGATGGGAAAGTTCTCAGACCTTGTTGCTGCCCCACCCCAGGCTATTTCAGCAGCTCTGAGACAGAAGTATCAGGCCGATGTTGTTCCTGGTTAGATGTTTACATTTGTAAGAAATAACACTGTGAATGTAAAATTTGGAGCCATTCCCCTTAGAATTCATATTGCTGGCCTCAACGTAGAGTTTAATTGGCCTCTTGTTTACAATGTGATCTAAAACAGTCAGTCTTTAGCAAGGGGCTTGGAACTCTGCTCTGGCAGTAGGTCCCAGCCCAAAGATCTGCTTGCATGTTCCAGAGATGAATATGCGTTTATAAGTAAAATAACTTTACTCACGCATGAGTATACATGCATGTGCATATATGCATATCTATAATTTTATATTTACACACATACACACATCTCAAGACAAATATGCAAGGTCGCTACGAAGGCCTCTGTCAGTTTTCCTGGAAGTTGACTTTTCTCAGACCTGCTGCGTGAAGTCGCTGCGTGACTCACATCTAAACGGGACTCACTAAAAGTAGGGCCATGCGCTGCTCATTGAAATCCCACTGGAGAAAATAATGTACCTTATCAACTCTCTGCAGAAGGGACTAAGACTTGGTCAAGTTCCAAAAAGTCTATGGCACGTACCAATCATATTACCAATACACATTTTGTTGAAAATGTCATTAACTTGGTTGTCAAGATTTTTGCAGGGGGCGGTAGGGGGTTGTTTTTGTTTTCCTGCTGGGAATATCAGGAAAGCTTTTGATGAAACCAGGGTAGAATTATTCGGCAATGCATTTAAGCCACGTGCCTCCCTTCCCCTGCCGGCCCGTCTGGGTGTACGTAGGTGATGTTTCCAGCTGCCAAGTGCCCTTTATGCTGTTCTCTCTCATTTTTGCCAGCACATGTGCCCTTTCAGGAGGAAAGCGTGAAGCTGAAACACCTTGCAGACACCCAGAACGTAGCGTCAGAGAAGGCCCTGTACCCTACAGGACACCCCTCAGCACCTCCATTGACGGGGTCATCTCAGAGCCTCAGAGTGAGCAGCTCCTGGTGGAGCAGGGACGAGCCCTGCTCTCCAGCTTGGGGGCACAGATCCTAAACACAGCAATAACCATTTCGGGAGCTGGAGTGAGCTTGGTACTATGTGTTGAGGGAGTGGAGTTAGTCTTGTGCCACCTTTGAGCACCCTCCCTAGCGAATGTCCTCACTCGGGCTTTGTCCCTCCCTCCCTTCCTCTGCGGTGACTGCCCAGGACCTTGGCTGCTGGCCGGGGTGGACTTGGAGTTGTTTGGTGGGGCAGCATGGGGGAACGGGGAGAAAGAAGACCTCGAACCCTGCCAGGGCTCAGTGGAGCTTGGGATGGCTGCGGCGAGAGGGGGCCACTCCCTTACTGGGCCTGGTACTGCTGGGATGAGAGACCTGCTCAGAAAGCCGTGTGACACCTGAAGGCCACCAGGAAGGTGCAGGAGCCACTCTTTCCCTGCTTGCCTGTCATGTGCTAATGCCGTTGAAGGAACCCCCTCCCCTCCCTTGTTTCTGGAAGCGAAGTATCCCGCTGCAGACGGGTGGTGACCACCGGCCTCGGAGGATGGCAGCCAACACGGACCTGTCCACGGTGGTTGGCTCCGACCCAAGTGGGGCCTCCTGCCCAGGTCTCCTGCTTCGTGCTGCAGGCAGAGTGGCCGGGGAGCCAGCGGGGCTGTGATGGGCAAGCCCGGAGCCCTGCCCAGACCTGGCCATCTGCTTCCGACAGGAAAGGGAAGGACTGACACGAGATGTATATTTAAATTTTAACTGCTGCAAACATTGTACATACAAATGAAAGGAAAAAAATTAAAACATGAATTGCTGCTTTACAAGGCTTGCTTTGCTTATTGAGAACCTAGACATGTTTGAGGAGAGTGCTTCCCACATGGGCAGCACAAACCACAGTACGCGTGGTCTTTCTGCCCTGCAGATCGTGGCTGCCAAAACTTTCGTGGTCCAGCGACCTGTGCTAATTACATGGAAGCCTCAGGATTTGAGCCCTTAGAAGTGCTTCCACATTTGGCCCAGGGCAGGAGGGGTGGTAAGGCCAGCACAGGGATTAGAGCCGTGTCCCCACATGGGGCACGAGCTGGCTTTTGAGTCCCTTCATGGCCCTGCCAACCCCTTCCACCTCCTTGGCCATCCTGCACTCCTAGCCCAACTGTAGCCCGCTGCCCCTGAGGCAGCAATGTTTCCCTCCTCTGCTCTGGCCTGGGCCTCTGTGTCTGCAGGGCCTGGCTCTGTCCATGTTAGCTTGTAAGTTCTTCCCGTCTGATATGCCACCTCCTCCAGGAAGTCTCTGCTCAGCTCAACGGGGGCACTGTCTAAGCTCTGGCTGTGCCTCTCCTGGGGAGCCTTGGTGGTGGTTGTAGTAATCTTGGGATGCAGATATTTTACTCACCAACCTGCAAAAACAAAAACCACAGACCAGATTTCTCTGGTGCAGGGTATTTAGTAAATGTTTGCCGCGGTCCCATCTGATTCCAGCTAATTGGCAGGACTCGTCCTCCCACCCCTCAGCCGAGCAGGCTCTGCGTGCGGTTGGTGCCAGGAGAGATGGGCAAGCTGGCACCACTGCGCATGGGGCCTTCTGGGATTCAGTGGCAGCTTGTGCCACTGGCTCACCCAAGGCATGGGGTCCCCTGTCTCTGAACAAGGATAGTGAATGCTTGGTCAGAGGGACCTGGTGGACGGGCCCAGCCGGGTTACGATTGTTCCCTCGTTGCTGTAAGCATTTGATGGGGGCATATCACTGCCGCTGAATCTGTCTCCTCATTGGTGACTCAAATCCTGGGCCCCCTTGATGGCCTCACCTTTCAAGGCCACCTAAGTTCTGGTCACTTCAGGGAAATGGAGCACCCCCTTTCTCCCTGGTAGGTGTAGACAGCCAGACCTGTGGCACACCTGGCATGGCTGATATTTCCAGAAAGAAAAAGGGCCCAGATCCAGTGGAAAAAGCAGCCCTTCCTCGTGAGTGGCACATCCCCGCAGTCCCCCTCCAGCACCACGGCAGACCTCTCAGCAGAGGGCAAGAGCTCACCCGACCGTCCTCCCCCTCACGAGAACATGCCCTGCATACCTGCCCAGGGAGCAGTGGGGCGGCTCAGACGCCCCAGGGTATGTGCTCTCTCCCCTGCCCGCACTGGGGGTTTGTTCTCTGCCTTCAATGGCGTTTGTTTTTAGCTGTAACCAGCTTTGTTCCAAAAAGGATTTTGCAGTAGCTTCCCAAATGTGGTGTGTGGTACTTTTTAACATTATAATTAGATGAGGGAGGTAGCCAGGGTGAGGTGAGTACCAGCTGGCCACAGGTCAGGCTGTAGGTTTTCTGGGAGCCACCCCAAAAGGGACTGGATGCGGGGGCTCTCTCCGCACGCTGGGACACATGTTCTGGGTGTGTGTGGGTGCACCCCCCAGGGCAGCCGGGCAGCGGGGCCCAGCAGAGGCATTCTCTGAGGGCTCATGAGTCTGTCATCTGGGGCCCATGGGCACAGACGTGGACCCAGCTTTGTGGAGTGACCGAGACATCATCTAGGAAACCAGGAGCACCTTATGTGGTTCCCACGGGCTCCAAGCAGTCTGGTTCCCATATGGGCGGATGGCTTGTCCCCACCCGGATGGCCCTCCTCTGTTGTAGTCATGTCCTTTGGGGGCCCTGGGGTTCCCAGGCCCTGAATATGGAGGCAGGGTTTTCTCCGTCCCACACAGAGGTCAGTGGAGCCATTGAGTCAGGACTGGGGCCTGCCCACTGAGGCAGAGGGCCCTTGGCACAAGCAATGGATGGCAGTGCCCAGCCATGGGGCCTGCTGCCCACCATGCTGGGCTGGGCAGCCCCTAGCACTCTGATGGGGCAGGCTGGTCCTGATCCTGGCCCCTTCACCTCCCCAGACAGGCCACCTGCCCCCTGACCTCCGACCTTGCCGCAGCTGGCTTCAGCACTGACCACATACCTCCCCTCACCCCCCATTGCTCTCAGAAGTCCAAGCACCTTGCGGTGCTCAGGGGCCCCTCTGACCCGGGCCCTGTGGCCTCCTGGCCGGGGCCTGTCCCACCCGCTGCTTCCCTGCCTTGGCCCACACCCCCAAGCTCTTCAACTGCTGGGATCTATCCATCATCACAGGCCCTGCGCGAGGCTGCCTGGTCCCCTCAGTGGGATGTCCACCAACACTCTGGGCTTCCGTGGAGGGAGCACTCCCACCCCGCCATGGGCAGTCCTGGTTTCCTGCCAGCTGAGTGGAATGAGAGTGCTCAGGCCCTGCCTTCGTTGTGTAGAGGGAACATGAGGCCATAAAGTGCAGGCCTCGCCTGGGCACAGCAAAGCCAGGCTGGGCTCCTGCCCATGCCCCTGGCACTCCTCAGGGACCACTGCTGAGGCCTGACCTTCTCCCCGCAGGTGCTGCTGGGTGCCCAGCCCTGGGCCCTCCGCCTCCTGATCCCACGGTGACCGAGTGTCCAGCAGGCCATGCAGCTGTGCCAAGGTACAGAGCCCCTCCCCACAGAGGACAGACCCAGGGGGGGCAGCTGTGTCGTTGGCCCTGCCCTCTGCCTGCCGGCCTCATTCCTCCTTGTCCTTGGAGGCCCAGAGCGAGGGCCCTGGAGCCCACCCCGTCCAGGGGTTTCCAAGGCATGCTGAGCCTGAGAAGCCTGGGCCCAAGCATTTAGCCCACTGCTTGGAAACACCTGTAGGGTGGGTTTTGCCACCCAGTGGCCCTGGGACTCGGCCAGGTGGGGGTAGTTGTGCCTTGTCTAGGGCCGTCTGTTTGCGGGGCCCTGAGCACAGCAGTGATGCCCACTGACAGCAGCTGCCCCTTCAGCCCCGGTGGCAGGCCAGGACTGTGCTCTCCAGAAGCTCCCAGGCAGATTCGTGGAAGGGGTCTGGGAGTGGCAGGTAGGGTCCCATGGCCTTGGAGGGGCTGTCCAGCCGGGTCCTGTTAGCCCCATTGTAACGATGAGGAAGCTGAGGCTCGGGGGAAGGATGTGACGGAGGTCGCGTGCTGAGTTGTCAGAGCTGCGATTCAGAGCCCTCTGCCTAGACCTCGAGACGCACCCTGCCTGCTTTTCCCAGCAGAGCCCTGGCTGTGCCTCAGTGCTGGGAGATGCCGAGCGCCCCACCTCTGCCCTGGGAGCCATGGCTGGGGAAAGGGCATGAGGAGGGGTCCCCGACCTCAGGAGGGCCAAACCCTGTGCCTGAGAAGTGGGGAGCTTCCTGGAGAAGGTGGGCTCTCTGGTCATTCATTCATTCTGCAAATGCTTCGAGAGCTCTCTGTGCCAGGCCCCCAGGCTCCACGCTGGAAAGTAGAGGCAGCAGCGAGCCATAGGCCAGCCAGTGGCACCAAGGGCTGACCTTGGCAGTGAGTGGGGAGGATCTGGGGCCTGCTCCGTGCCTCAGTGCCAGATGGTAGGGATGGGGTCTTCTGAGGCCCAGAGAGGAGAGGGCTCAGCCAGTCCCACAGGGCAGGGCCAGGCCATGACCAAGGAACTCGGCAAAGGGGGTACGGAGCTGCCTCTGGTTCCCGGCAGAACCTGGGGCTGCCCTCATGGCGCATTCCCCAGTCTTACTGCAGGGACCAGGGAACCCCAGGCCGGCCCTCCCCATGCTGGGCACCCACAGTGGGCCATGCACCCAGCCAAGCCCTGCCCTGTCCTTCTCCGAGAACCTCAGCCCGTTGAGCCTTTGTTCCCCTCCTGCAGGGTCACATGCGATACTTTTCTCAGAGGATGCCAACGGCATCAGCAGAGGCTCAGAGACACCTACCCCTCCAGGCCCAGCTCCTCCTGTCCTGGGGCAGCTCAGGCCTGAGGCTGCTGTGGTCGGTCAGGCCCAAGGAAGGCATGTGGGCCCCTGCAGTCCCTCTGCTGCCCACAGCCTGGGCACTGGGCGGCCAGGCAGGACCACTGACAGGGTGCTGGGCCCACAGATGCCAGATCCAGGCTGGGAGCCATGTCCAGCATGGCCCCTCCAGCACAGCTGCCTTGAGATCTTCAAATCTTATTTGATTTTAAGCTTTTAAATTTTGGATGCCGATGCCCTTAGGTGGCACTTTCTGCAAGGCACCCGGGCTCTCACCAGGCTGAGGTCCCCTGACATTCTGTCCCTGAGCCCTGCAGAGGCAGAGGCCCACTCCCCATCCTGGCCCTCGAGCCCCCTTTCTGCCCTGCCACCCTGTACACATAGTGCCATGTCTGGCTTCCCGTCACCTCCCTGCGTGCTCCGGCCTGTGCCTTGCTGCGAGGCCCTTGTGGGCTGTTTCTTCCCCAGAAGTGCCCTCTGGCCCTCTCTGGGTTTACCTGGCAAACTCCTCCTCTCTGGCACAGAGCTTCCCTCCGCTGTCTGGTGCTGTCCCCGCCTGGCTAGTGCTGGAGGTCTGTGTCCATGTCCCCTTCCTGCACCACCAGGCAGGGTGCCCAGCGTCCACACGAGGCCCAGGCCGTCTGGGGAATAGAGCAAGAGAATAGAGCCGAGACAGGGGAGTGAGGGCCTCGTAAGGACCCCGAGACCCCAGGGCCCAGCCTCAGTGAAGCCTGGTGGGGGCCTTCTGAGCCAGTGGCCGCATCGCCAGGGCGAGCGGTGGGGCCTTGTCTCCCCGTCTCCCCATCCCCCTCCCTGTCCCGTCCCCATGCGCGTTTGCCCCTTTCTCCTTGTTCTGTCCACCCCACCTCCCCATCTTAGCCTGCGTGGCTGGGCCAGGCTGAGGTGGGGGCGGCTGCCTGGATCCCACCTGTCGGGCCACCGGGTTTGGGCTGGCCCACTTGCTGCAATATTGATGGCCCGTCAGCACAGCCCTGATTCCTGGGCTTTCAGTTAAAAGGTTTCTGTTGTTGTAGCTTATGCAGTTGCTCTGTTGCTATGGAAACGTGACATCAAAATGACGTTTCCCGTTTAAAAGCTTTTAACTAAATTCCTGCCTGTCAGATGTAGGCCCCATTTTGAGCGCGGAGCTGCCTTCGAGCAAGCCAGCCAGCCGGCGCCTCCCGCCCATGGTCCGTGGGGCCTGCCCGGGGCCTCGCCTGAGCGCGATCTTTAACCCCCAGGCGCCTCCAGCATGGCAGCTGCCGAAGTGCCCGGCTACCTGGTGTCCCCTCAGACAGAGAAGCACCGGCGGGCCCGCAACTGGACCGATGCTGAGATGCGCGGCCTCATGCTCGTCTGGGAGGAGTTTTTTGACGAGCTCAAGCAGACCAAGCGCAACGCCAAGGTGTATGAGAAGATGGCCAGCAAACTCTTCGAGATGACTGGCGAGCGCAGGCTGGGCGAGGAGATCAAGATCAAGATCACCAACATGACCTTCCAGTACAGGTGGGTGGGGGCCTGGCATGGCCGGGCAGGCTGGGAGGGCATGCGGGTCCTGGAGCAGGCAGCCCACCTGTTGTTCTCCCCTGCCCTTGTGCAGACAGAGCCTGGTGGGCTGAGACTACGTGCAGCCTGCCCTCGGCGGGCAGGGAGGCCCAGGCCCAGGAGGGCAGGAGGCTGCTCACGGAGCGGAGGGATGGCAGGCTGGGCTGATCTTGATGCTCTGGGCCCAGGGCTGCTGCGGGGCCTGGGCCAGGATGGCTGCAAGGCTGGGCGCTGCCCACGCAGGCGGCACCCCTTGACGTGCACACACCCCTCCCCAGACAGGAGACTGCAGCTGCCACTGCCCTCCCTACCACCTAGCCCCCACACTCAGCAGGAGCGTCAGGGTCCTGCTGTATAGTTGGGGAAACTGAGGCCGGAGGCCAGAAGGAGGCTCGGCTCCCAGGCCAGACTGGTCCTGTCTGGTCCTGACGCTCTGTGACTTTCAGCATCAACTGAGCCCCTGCCGAGAGCCCAGCTCAGGCTAGCATCTGGGTCAGGGAGAGGGGTGTTTAGGGCTGAGATCGGGCCACTGCATGCCAGCCTGGGCAACAGAGCAAAACCTGTCTAAAAAAAATGCCCAAGGGGCCAGGACAGCGTCCAGCTCATGGGTGGGGGCTTGCTTGTGGGAGAAAGAGGTGGAGCCCGGCCCTGGCCCCAGCGACTCCCAATCTAGGGGTCTCCAGGCACGGCCACCACCTCTGTCTCTGCAGCATCCCAGGTTGGCCCTCCCTGCCTGGCAGCCCGAGGGGAAGGCTGGAGACACCCATGGGTCTGGGGCAGCTCTGGTGTTCAGGAGGGAGCAGGTGAACCCCAGCCTGTCTGGCACAGGCAGGCCAGGGTCATGGTAGGACAAAGGTCTCAGGTTCGGGGAGGGCTTGCAGGGAGTGAGGGCAGTGGCAGGAGCTGGAAGCTCAGGTGGGGAGCCGGAGGCAGGGAGGCTGGTACAGCGGGCCTGCAGGTTTCCCTGGGGGGTACCTGAGTGACACTTTGTGGGGAGAGGACCCCATTCCCCTGACAGGTGAGGAGATGGCCTCCAGCAAAGCAGGGGGGAGCCCCAGCCCCCACGTCTCTGGTCACCCAGGCACGAGCAGGCCCTAGCCGCTCCGCTTTGAGTCGCATTGATTTAACTTTCTATGACACTGAGCGGGTCCAGGCCTGGCCTGCCCAGAGGCCCATTTCTGCATTTTGACCCCCGGCCCTGTGTCCTGAAGCTGGAACCGAAGCAGCTGCTCGGGGTCTGCTGGCATCAGAGTTGCTTAGCGAAGTGATGGTAGATTTGAGCCACCAGCTCTTGATCTCAGGGTGAGATGTGAGTTTGGGTGTCTGCAGAGGCACGGGTGGGGACAGACGTCTGCCTGGAGTCCCTGCAGCCGCCACGGCCTCTGCAGCCCCCACTCAAGTGCCTGGAGCTCCAAGGAAGACGCTCGGGATGGTGGAGGCAACGATGGCCGTCCTACCATCCCCCAACTCAGGAATCCATAGGCAGCCTCCCCGGCTGGCTCTGAGTGGCGTCCGGCGGGGTTATTCATTATTTATCCTGAAAGCCTTCTCCAGAGTCTCAGGGGAGGGATTCCGTCTCCGTTCCTGAGGCCCAGGAATCGAGGGTGCAGCGGGGGCGAGGGGGCCTCCAACTCCAGGCACTGCAGTCTGGCATGCGCTGTGCACCATGACTCCTCACAGCTGCCATTGTCAACCTTTATTCACCAAGGGGGAAACTGAGGCCCAGAGCGGGAAAGGATCTTGCCCAAGGCCACATAGTCCTTAACAGGCCAAAGCTTTGACTGGGTGACTAGTTCTTTGTCTACACCCCTCAGCCTCCCCGTAGCAGCAGAGACTTTCTTATTTTTTTACAAGAGCTGTTTATATATTAAGGCTGGCATGCAAAGGATGTCTAAGAGGGTGGCTGGGTTCCCTGAAGTATGGTTGGCTGGAGTACAATTTGAGGGCCTCGCGTGCTGGGAACAAGCTTTTCCTCATTTCCCCCAGGAGGGGCCGGAGGGGAGCCTCGGGAGGAGGCTGGGATGGACACCTGGCACCAAGCCTCACCCTCTGTGCCAGTGTCTGTACAGCCCTGGCCCTCCAGGGTTGGTCGATGGTACGTCCCTCATCAGGAACACAGAGCAGCCTGTGCCCTCCCTGTGTGACCTGTCCCCAGCTTTCTGCTGGGAACATCCCACCTGGTGGGTGGGCCCCCGGACACTTGGTGCTGCTCCCTAAAGCCAGCCACCTCCTGCAGCCGCCCCTTGCCCCTTCTCACCCTCTGGCTATGCTTGTTTGTGGGGTGACTCATTCAGGGGCCCAGCGCATTGTTTCCAGTTCCCAGTGACCAATGGCCACACCCTGGCAGGTAACGCCGTGTAGGAGGCAGGAGACTCCAGCTCTGAGGGTGGGGGCTGGTCCTGGGTCCTCGGCTTCCTGGTACTCTGCAGCTCTGAGGCCTCCCCACATCAGACGAGCACTGGCAGGATTGTTGGGGGAGCCCTGGGCCTCAGGAGGCAGAGACCCCTCCCACCGTGTGGCTCCTTCTCTGGCTTGGCCAGAGTTGTCCAGCCGCCCTAGGGCCCCGTCTTCCCAGCCCCTGCCTCCCAGAGGATGGGAAGGCCCAGGGTAGGCCCAGGGACTTGTCCACCCACTCAGGGAACAGGACCTGTCTGTGGCAGGAGGCCTGGGAGGGGCAGAACTGCGTGGTGCCGACCCTTGGCACGGAGCGCTGGGTGGTGAGATGTCAGGTGACATGGGAAACGGCCCATCCAGCCTGGCCCCACTGCCTGAGGCAGGGTGCAGGTTCCAGTGCAGAACCCAGGTTCCCACTCTAGCTAACAGGAGTGACAGCAGAAATGCCAGGTTAGAGTCCTGTTAGGGTCAGCCAAGAATGACATCAGGGCCCAGCCTGCTGTTTTATTGAATCCTCGGGACAGCCCCTCGGAACAGAGGGGCTCACTTTGATCATCCCCATTTTACTGACATGAAAATAGAGGCTCAGAGAGGCTAAGGAACCTGCCCAAGGTCGCACAGCAAGGTGGTGGAGATGCGATGCACTCAGGCTGTGGACACTGAAGCCACACTCCCTGGCTCTCTCCCTGAGGCGTTCTCTCTAGGAAACACAGTTACTACATCGCAATATTTTATGACTATATTTGTGTATCTTATTACAATACCTTATTATTGCTGGTTAACGTATTTAAAAAGCAATATTTGCTCATTGCAGAGAGTTTAGAAATTACAGAAGAGCAAGGAAAAAATGACAGGAGTCAGCCCGAAGGCCCCAGCGTTTACAGAGAATCATTAATACTGGGGGCACATGCTTCCTTTTTGAAATCAAAGGCTGTGCGGGTCCTGAAGCCTGACCTCCTTCTAAGTCCACTGTCGTCCTGAGCCTGGAGCCTGGCCAGCTTTCCTGGGGAGGCCCGTGTGGCCGAGCGCGGCTCCTGCCCGTGCCGGCGTGGCTCTCCCCCGGGGCCCGGAGCCTGCGCGCCCCTCTGCCGTGGCTAAGCGGGCCGGGCCGGGGCCGGCTCTGCTTCTCACCCTTGGCTCTTGTGTCTCTCGTTTCAGGAAATTAAAATGCATGGCAGATAGCGAGTCTGTCCCGCCCGACTGGCCCTATTACCTAGCCATTGATAGGATTCTGGCCAAGGTCCCCGAGTCCTGTGATGGCAAACTGCCGGACGGCCAGCAGCCGGGGCCCTCCACGTCCCAGACCGAGGCGTCCCTGTCGCCGCCTGCTAAGTCCACCCCTCTGTACTTCCCGTATAACCAGTGCTCCTATGAAGGCCGCTTCGAGGACGATCACTCCGACAGCTCCTCCAGCTTACTGTCCCTTAAGTTCAGGTAGTGTGTGTTCACTCTTCCTTCTCCTGACGCCGCGGGTGCCTCAGCCCGTCCCCAACCCCGAACGGGGGCCAGGAGAAAGGGGCCGGGAGTGGCGAGGAGCAGCTGCCGCGGCGGCTGCAGAGGCGAGGTGGTGTGCAGGTGCCTGCAAGGACAGGCCGGCCCGGCCCGGCCAGGGCTTGAGTGTCCACAGACAGACCAGGTTTGTCTCCCAGCTCCATCGCCTTGTAGCTGTGTGGAAGGTTCCTTGACCTCTCTGGCCTCAGTCTCCTTCCTGTAAAATGCGGCTAGACCAGAACCTTTCTCAGAGGATGGGTGGGAGCATCACAGGAGAGAGGGCCCGGCACAGAGAGGGAGTCCACAGGCCTGGACCCAGGGGTGCCCCCCCTGGCTGCCTCACGCCCAAGCAGATGCTGCCCGGGACCCCACACCTCTCTGCCCCTGCGCGCACCAGCTGGCCCTCTCAGCACTGGGGAGGGTGTTGGGCTGAGCCGCCAGAGGTCCTCGTCACCTTTTGCAGTGGGCATGCTCCGTCCCCTCTGCTGTCCGTCCCACACCTCATGCTAGGCCTGTGCTGGCCACACGGCTGTGCCTGCAGGATGTTCACAGAGCAGCTGGGAGCCGGACAGCATGCAGGAGGGACGCCCTGGGTGAGGGGGCCTGGGTGTGGGGGCCAGGAAGCTTAAAGAAGGTGCTTTTGAAGAGGGTACCTTTGGGTGGGCTTTCAAGGTGAAATAGGAGTTAGCTAATTGGAGAACAGAATAGGAAGAATGTGGATGTGAGTCACAGCCTCTCCCCTGCCCCGGTGTTCAAGTCTGTCTGACGGGAGGTGGAGTGAGGAGGCATCTCTGAGGACGTCCCTCCAACCCGACATCCGCCCCCCAGAGCTGCTGCTCGAGTCCCCCAGTGCCCCTTTCCTGGAAAGGATTTCTCGTTAAAGACCCCAGAAAAAACGCCTTTGCTGATGGCCAGACTGAATTAGCAGGGAGGCCCGAGATTTTGGCCAGTTGTCCCATGGACTGAGCCCAGTTCGCAGACTCCGCTACCTGGGGCATTGTGCAGGCTGGGACGTGGGGACTGCACCCCCTGCTGGAGCCCAAAGCTCCACTCTCCTCCTGCTGGGGTTGGCTGATCACCCGCTCTGTTCAGAGCACAGAGGGTGGGCCAGGGGGTGGGCGGGCACCAGGGCAGGGCCTTGGGGTCTGGTGGGATTTGGCAGCTCCCTGCTCTTCAGTGCAGCCGGTTAGACCAGAGATGGCCACCACCCCAACAGCAGAGTGCCCGGGGGACAGCGCAGGGCTGGGCTGCCTGGGCCTCCTGCTTCTATCAGAGGCTCGAGGTCCTGGGAAGGAAGCCCAGGCCTCTTACAGGCCCCGCCCCCCACTGCCTGTCCTCCTGCCCGCCCACCCCAAGGTGTGCCATCCAGCTCCAGGCTGCTGGGAGGTGAGGGGCCAAGGGCCCAGGCCATCCCTTCTGGGACCTCAGTTCTTCCATCTGCGCTAGGCTGGCTGGGACTTGTGGTCTCTGGCTTCAGGGGCCTGGAGTGCCACACGCTACCCAGCACGCTGTCCCACCCCAGCCTTCGCCTGTCCCTGGGGGTGGCCTCTCCACCCCTGGGACCCAACAGGGCCTGAGCCTCTCGCCTGCCCTTGCGGCAGGGTGTGCCCTCTGCAGTCCAGTATACCCACCCTTTCCAGAGCACAGGGGTGGAGATCGTCTTTGACCCCGGGTCCCAAAGGATGCAGTGTCTGTGACGCCCGTTACTCTCTCACCGCCACAGGTGGGTGGACTCTGGGCCCCCTCCACACATGGACGGTGAGAGCCTGAGCGGGTGACCTGACTCCCAGGGCCTCAGTTTCTCCATTCGTCCAATGAGAAGGTTGGGAGGGTCAGGCGGGGCCCTGGTGCGCAGGCTCTGGCCCGCACGTCCCCAGCGGCGCTGTCCTTCCAGGTCGGAGGAGCGGCCGGTGAAGAAGCGCAAGGTGCAGAGCGGCCACCTGCAGAAGAAGAAGCTGCGGCTGCTGGAGGCCATGCTGGAGGAGCAGCGCAGGCTGAGCCGCGCCGTGGAGGAGACCTGCCGCGAGGCGCGCCGCGTGCTGGACCAGCAGCACGTCCTGCAGGTGCAGAGCCTGCAGCTGCAGGAGCGCATGATGAACCTGCTGGAGAAGATCATCGCCAAGTCCAGCGTCTAGGCTGGCTGGGCCCAGCGGCCCGCCCCCCGGCAGGGCCCGGGAGAGAGGGGAAGGCCTTCCGCCTGGCCTCCGGTGGGCTGCTCCTGGTCAGACGTCCCTTCTGAGGGGCTTGTGAGGACCCCCCAGACCCTGGGGACGGGGAGACTTCGGTCTCCAGCGTTAGCGTCCTTCCTTGGACACAAGCCAGAGACTCCAGGGTTGCTCCTGGTAAGAACGTCCTAGAACCTGCCCTCCAGCATAGTCATGATCAATGATACTTGAAATGGCTTTTGATATTAAACGTGTACTTTTTGCATCATTGCCTGGAAGCGGAGTTTGCTTTCGCTGCTTGGTGGGGATGCACCCACGATCCGCCCTGAACACGAAAGCAAGCGGGAGGGGTCAGGGCAGTCGGTGCCGCGGTGAGCTCCCTCCTGAGGGGACCCCCATGTCCTCCCTCACCGGGGGCCTCTGCGTCTGCCCTAAAATAACCTCTGACACCGCACACAGACCCCAGAAGCCTTCCAGGGCCCTTTCACTCATCTCTGGAACGTCACGTAGCTCCACTGCCTCCTTACAGTGACACTAATAAAAGTACTAACGCCTGCTCGAGCACATGCCCTGTCTGATTTCCTAGGCTCTGGAGAGGCCGTGGTGGATGAGACAAGGGGAGACAGACCGGTCAGTAGAGAGGTAATTGCAGGTTGTGGCACCACTGGAAGGAAGGGTCGGCCGAGAAGGCAGACGAGCTGGGCACTGCCAGGGCAAACGCCCAGAGGCAGGAGGATGCCGGAGCAAGCCTTACGAGCAGCAAAGAGTCTGTGTCACCAGCAGCCAGGCCACAAGGGCTGTGCAGGCCACAGGAAGGAGAGCTGGTGCTTTCCAAGCTTGCTGGGAGTGTTTCGGCCATGGCAGCTGCGGCTCTGGCACCCACAGGGCAGAGCAGCTGGGGAGGGGCTGCAAGCTCACCACACCGCTGTCCTTTCACCACTGGGAAAATTCTTTCCAGCAACCCCTCGGCCGAATTCCCCCACAGGCTCACTGGTTGCCCTGGCTGCAGAGGAGGCCGGGACCAGGCATGTTTGATTCATCCCCTGGAACTAGGCAAGTTGCTGCCCAAACAGAAAAGTTTTGTGGCAGGTGGTCAGCAAGTGAGTGACACAGTTTGACTCACGGTTTAGAAACTCTCCCTCTGGCTGCTGGGGAAAGTGTGGAGGCCAGGGCCCGGCCACACGGCACCAGAGACACACAGACATCCAGTGCGAGACAAGCACCAGCTCACCTGACTTCCCGGGGGGCCTTGAGGTCAGCCAGGCAAAGGAGTAACCAGGGTCTCTGCCAGGTGCTGGACCAGCCCGTGGCCCCCAGGTGGCACAGAGGACAGCCCTGGGCCTGCATGTGGGGAGGGAGAGGTGGGCAAGCAGTACCCACTTTTCTCTCAGGGACCAGAGAGCTCCCACCCCGCCTCAGTCCCCTCAGAGATCCCCCCAGAGTCCACGAGCTGTGGACTCAAACCCTTTTGCTTTAGGATGAAAGGCAGAGTGTCTGGTGGCTGTTTTAACATTCAGTGCTCCAGTGGCAGGATGGAGCACTGGCCAATGCCTGTGGTGTAAACTCTCCCACTGAAGCCACTTTCCAGCTGCCAACTTGGGAAGAGATGCTCACAGTCAGCCCTTGCAAGCTAGTGTGAGCCACTACAGCACCTGCTGAGAAGACAGAGGGTGTGGAGACGTCTCATGTTGTAGACCCAAGTTTTGGGAGCTTGTTCTAGCTAATTTCTAGCTCGGGTACCCATCTGCCTCTCAGACAAGATGCCACCCAGGAGTCATTGGTGTATTAATGTATTGGGCTCCTGCTAGGCACCTATGCCACCCTAGATGCTGGGAACCCAGCCGTGGACGCAAGGGACTAGACCACACGCATCTGCCCCCAGCTGCTGACTGCTGAGGCTGGCTAACGCCTCCCATGGAGCCAGCCATGAGGGTCTGAGCCTCCCGACAGGGAGGTCTGCCCCAACCCTCCGGGAGGAAACAGTGCCTGAGCCCCAACCACACCTGCAACCCTGGCAGGATGGTTAGGCCCAGAACCTCCTGTAAGAGGTAGCACAATTGCGGTTCTAAATGATGTAGCCGTAGCTGATTTCTGCACCTTTAAGCCTCTGTGTTCCTAGAGTCACGGTCACATGTGTTAGTGTTTCGGGGACTGCTGGGTGTCAGTTGCAACACCCTATGCGTCCTTCTCGCAGTTGTGTTGGGGAGGGCTTTGGTCTCTTTCCATTTTCTTGTTCTCTTTGATGAGAGTCAGGTTCCTGCTCCACCGTGCCAGGCGCTGCCCTCCTCCTCCGCAGCGGGCGCAGAGGTTGGGCAGAGCTCAGCTGGGGTTGGCACCTTTCATAAACCGTGTGTTAACAACTCTCTGTCTTCTTCAGTTGTTGGTCCGTTAAGGAAAAAATAATGACTATGTCAGTAAATGCTAAAATATTTGATAAGATTCAGCAAAACAACTGGTTAACACTGAAAGCTTAAATCAGGAACCGGCAAACGTGCCTGCTTTTCAGCCGTTATTTAATGTCATTTTGACGTTCATGGCTAATGCAGTAAAATGAGTCAACAAAATGGGCAGGATAAGAAATGAGATGCAGAAGTGAGAATTGCCTTTGTTTTCAGATAATATTTCTGTATACCCAGAAAACCTAATATACAAAAGATCAAGAGCTTTTAAACCAGCTTAAACCTGTTAAAAATGAGAATGAAGAAATACTACATTCAGAGTTGTGATTAAAAACAATGGACTATCAAGGAATGAATTTAACCAGAAGGGCACAGTACCTATATGAAGAAAACTTGCAGTCTCATTGAAAAATCTAGAACAATACCTGCGCGTGCAGAGAAACTTAGCGTGCTAACGAGAGCTCTGAAATAAAATAAGATGTCATCACTTTATCAGTGCAATTCCATCTACACTCTCAATAACGCTGCGTTTTTGGTTTCGAAATGGATGAGATTATGTTTAAATTCACATGAAAAAAGAATGGGGCCAAAGGTCCAAGGCCAATCGATGTGAGAAGACACGCTCGGCCTTCGAGGAGTGGGGACCTTGGGAGCGCAGCACGTGCGCGCAGCAGGGCGGCCCGCGGGCTGACAATGCCGAACGCCGGGCAGAACGTCTTCGAACTCCTAGTTTCCCAGGTTTTGTAATAGCATCACTGTCGTCGGCAGGGAGAAAACGATTACCAACAAAATATTTATTGAAACTAACTTATGTCATGGAAAAGATACAATAACATATATTTTATAATAACCTAAAGTAACATATTTATGTCGCCTTTTGGGGAAAGGTTTTGTTTTTGTTTTTATTTATATTCCATAAGTAAAAGTACACTATTTCCAAAAAAGAAAAAGAAATGGGAACACCTGCGTCCTAGCGGGAGTGTGACTCGCTACAGCCACTCGGGGGAGCCATGTGGCGTTGTCCCCATTTCTAGATATGCCACCCTGGGGCAGCGGTCCTCACACTGCGGTCTGAGGACCCCTTGATGCTCTTAAAAACTATCCAAGATGCCAAAAAACTTTTGCTTATATGGGTTCCACTGACCAATATTAATACCTATTAGAATACCTTATTAGACATTAAACCTGAGACATTTGAAAAATACTCATTGCAAAACAATAAACCCATCACATGTTAACATACATAACAATTGTGTGAAAAATACATTTTCCAAAACAAAAAGGCTTGGGCTGGAAGAGTGGCATAGTTTTACATTTTTGCACATCTCTGGCTTGGAGGAAGCTGGCTGGCCTGGCTGGTGGTTTCTGTGCCGGTCTGCTGTGGAGCACGTTTTGGCTGTACAGCGTGGAGGTGCGTGTGGAAAATCTAGCTTGACACAGATATGTATTTGGAAAAGAAAGCAACATTTTCATAACCTTTGCAAATAATTGGGATATTATTCCTTGATCCAACACTTGACAAGTGGTCGGTAGTTTTTCAAGGTTAGTTGTGATCTGGAATCTGAAACCGTGTCAATGAACTTTTCCTTCCATGTTTCAGGAGAATCCATCAGTCCATCTTGTACTTTACTCCCTCCCCACCCGTGTTTTGTGATATCACACGTTGGGGCCCCGCCTCGCCGCTCTGAGCCTTGCCTTTGCGTTTGCGCCTCGCGGACGCGGACACAGCGCCCTCCTCCCGCCAGGGACAGGATTGCATCCCAGTGTGCGGAGGCACCACAGTTTCTCAGGCTTCCTCCTGACAGACAGATTGTTCCAGGTTTTCTCCGCAATAAACGATGGTGCAGTGGCTATCCCTGTGTGCAATCGGACAACAGTTCTTAACTCCAGGGGAAACACAAAATCGTGCAGAAAAGGAAAAGTTATATTATGCTAGCATGGCTCTCATGTGAGGGCAGGGTTGAGATTTATGTCTTTTCCATACAGATACCCTGATGTCACAGCACCATTTGTAGAAAAGGCTACCCCTTCACAACCGAACGGCTTGGGGTTCTTTCCTGAAAACCCATGGCCCGTAGCTGTGTGAGACTCCACCTGGGTCTGTGCTCTGTCCCTTGATGATTGTGTCCCTCCTGGTGCCACGACTGCCGTCCTCAGTACTGTCCGCCTTGAAATCTGGTATAAGGAACCTTTCAACTCTATTATTCTTTTCATAAATTGAGTATTCTAAATCCTTAGCATTTCCTATAATTTTTCTATTGTAGTAAAATATAACATAAAATTTACCATTTTTTTTTTTCCTTTTTTTTTGAGACAGAGTCTCACTCTGTTGCCCGGGCTAGAGTGAGTGCCGTGGCATCAGCCTAGCTCACAACAACCTCAAACTCCTGGGCTCAAGCAATCCTCCTGCCTCAGCCTCCCGAGTAGCTGGGACTACAGGCATGCGCCACCATGCCCGGCTAATTTTTTCTATATATTTTTAGCTGTCCGATTAATTTCTTTCTATTTTTGGTAGAGACGGGGTCTCGCTCTTGCTCAGGCTGGTTTCGAACTCCTGAGCTCAAACAATCC